GGTCATATCGATGTATTGGATGCCTTAAAGGCTCTGGATCTACGGATCCCCGTCCCTATTCCCTATCTGCTAACCATTTCCGAAGTGGCTAACGAAAAATTGATCGAACGGTGCCTCAAAAACAGGCGCCGATTCGAGGAAAGTCGAAAGGGCAAAAAGTTGGTCCTACGAGACCCACCCACAAACGAGGAGTCACAGCCCTCGACCTCAAAGGTGCACGAAGCTAACCGGATAAGAATGATCCAGACCGGCCCGTCTGGGAGTGTTATGCGTTTGAGACGGAACGCTGATGGAGAGCTGTATGACGGGAAATTGTCACGTACGGTTCGGAGGGCAGAGACTCACCTCTGACCCCTACCCATTTTAGGTTTTGCTTTAACTGAAGCTATTGCTTTATTCGCCTTAATGATGGCTTTTATGGTTTTGTCTTTTGTTTTCGAACTCGCAACGAAGTTGCCTTGACTGGTGCCCCTCTTATGATTCACAAATGGATTGCTTTATTTTTCTTTGTTTTTTTATGTTTAACCTCCAATCCTTTTCTTCAAATTTCCTTTTTAAGCACTGATTCGGGAAAAAAATTCAACCCTGTACTACAAGACCCCGTATTGGCTATACATCCTCCTTGTATTTATGCAGGATACGTTGCCAGTACTATTGGTTTTTGTTTATGTGTATCCGGAACTCAACAAAAAAAACACACTACGCGTGAAATCAATGAAAGTGGGAAGCTGAAAGATCACTGTGGAAAAAGAAAGGCAGTGATCTTACGTTCTGTGCTTCGCACCTCTTGGAAGTGACCCAAATTGACGAACTCAAGATGGGGACCACCGCCTGTCGTGAAAGGGGGTCACTGGGAAGGACCAACCCTTGGTCAACCCCCAACCATGTCTACGAGACGCAATTGAACGGGTTCGTGAACGTGAGGTGCGGGTAGGATTGTTCCCCCTCGGAAAAACCCGAGGTATTCCTCCGGGCCTATCCTATAACCTGGAAAAGCGTTGAGTGTGACTGCGAGGTCTGGGGAAATCCCTCGGCCGCCATCCTAGACTCAGGATCGTCAGCGGTCGCCATTTCTTGGAGATTGACGAAACAATTGGGAAGGGAAGGACAGGTTCAGCCCCTCCGACCGGATGAACTGTATATATCCGCTACGGAAGACATTATTCATTGTAAAGGGCGAATAATGAACGTGCCTATACGGGTGGAACGGGTGCATTGTTTATGCGATGCAATCGTGATGGATGTACAGGCGTATGATGTTCTGCTAGGCATTCCGTGGCAGGCGGCGGTTGGAGCGCGAATGCACTTTGACAGCTGTAAGGTGGTGCTCACATCGGCCCACCCCAAACCACAAACGATACCAATGAGATTGGCGGTGCGTATGCGCACCCAGACGGCGCCTCGAATCACCACGAAAGCCCATCAAATCAACATGATCCGACGCCTGTCACCAGACGAAAATGAAACCTCATCGGAAACTGACAAGACTGATGTACCCGACCGATATCCGATCCGGGTTCAGGATCGGTGGTGCCATTCTTGGCGGCGAGAACCCCTAGAAACAGTGCGAAGCGAGTCCAATTGGTCGCACGCGTTCTCCTCCGTGGTGCAGGGGGAACCCTTGCTGAGGGTGTCCCAAATAGCTGACCTTTCGGAACCCCCTGTGTCCTTATATCTCAGGACGGACCCCCTACCTGAAAGATTTACCGAGCTGAGGGGGCTGTGCGATTTATCTTTTTGACCTCCACGACCACTACTCAGAAATAAAAAAGCCGCGATACTCTTGAAAGAGGGGGTGTCGTTTCAACCCCGAACAAGGGAATATAGGTGGGGACCGAGGGAACTGATGCAGGCCTTTTCAGTAGAACCCTCGGCTGAACCCGAACTGGACAGCGACAGTGATATGGAAAGCGACCCGGTGAGTCCGGCGGACAGTCAACTTATTGCGACTGTCCTTTCGGCGAAAACCGACAACTCTTTGTTTGGGGCCTCGCCTGATGCCAATGCGGCGGTCCCCACGGTTACGACGACGGTCTCCCTTCGTGGGGGAACCGTAGAAGTTCAGTTACCAGCCCGTGTTTCGGATGAATACAGACGCCTCCTCCTGGCGGTTATACGGGCCTATCCCGAGGCCGTCAGTATTCAGGACCACGACTTAGGGCTAACCCCTTTGATACAGCACGCGATTGATACCGGGGATCACGCCCCGATACATTGCCGACCATACCGATATTCCCTTAAAGAAAGACAGCTGGCGTTGGAAAGGGTACAGGAATTCAAGCGGTTGGGGTGGGTCGAACCATCGCTGGGACCGTGGTCTTTTCCCGTAGTCCTCGTGCCAAAACGAAATGGTTCGGTCCGGGTATGTATCGACTACCGAAAATTGAACGCTATCACTACCAAAGATGTGTATCCCTTGCCGCGAATCGACGATTTATTAGATGCTATCGGGGCCGCTCGAGTCTTTTCCAAGTTCGATATCTGACACGGCTTTCACCATGTCGCAGTCCGGCCGGAAGACCAACCCAAAACCGCTTTTGTCCTATTTGAGGGCACGTGGCAATGGGTCCGGTGTCCCATGGGAATTTGTAACGCCCCTGCAACGTTTCAGCGGGCCATGAATATGGCCTTCACTGAGTTCGTTAACAAAACCCGTCTAACCCAGCCCCTGATCAATTTCTGCGTGATTGTGTACATGGATGATGTTTTGGTCTTTTCAAAAATACACGAGTACCACTTGGAACACATTGAGTGGGTTTTGCATGCACTAAAAGATGCGGGGTTCAAAGTGGCCTTGGAGAAAAGCGAGTTCTTCTTGTCGGAGATCTCATTCTGGGGGTACATCGTCACGGTCGATGGTCTAAAACCGGATCCGAGGAAGGTGGCAGCAGTTCAAGAAGCCCCGGCGCCGGTCACACTCACCCAGGTTCGGGCTTTTCTAGGGCTGGCATCCTATTACCGACGCTTCATCAAGGGGTTCGCCGGTGTAGCGAAGCCCCTAACAAACCTACTGAAGAAAGAAGAGCAGCTAATCTGGACGCCGGAATGCGAAGCGACGTTTCAGGCGTTGAAGGAGGCTCTGACATCTGCTCCTGTGTTGGACCGTTCACACTGTACACCGATTGGCAGCCGCAGGCGATATCGACGGTGCTGACTCAGCACGGGGCGGACGGAAGGGAACACGTCATGAAGTATGCGTCCAAGACGCTGAGCCAGGCGCAGGCTAATTACGAAGCGTGCAAAGGCGAATGCCTGGCGGTGGTGTGGGGGATTCAGCATTTCCGTTCGTATCTTTACGGTCAGAAATTTGTGTTGGTGACGGATCATCAGTCGCTGCTGTCCCTACACAACAACACGGACTACACGGGGACGCTGGGAAGGTGGGCGGTGCGTCTGCAGGACTATGACTTCGACATCCGCCACCGTGCCACGCGGCAACATGGCAACGCCGATGGATTGACGCGCCTCCTGCCGCCCAACAAGTGTCTCGCCAGCGAGCGACTCATTCCGTGGAGGCCAGAAGCCGCGACTACAAAACCGCACTACGGGGAGCTACACGTGCTGCGCAAGGACGACGCCTGAGTCCGGAATGGAGGTTTCGCCGGAGATGGCAGACGTTATCTCTTTGCCTTCATCCAACTCCCTCACTCTCTCGTCTAGTCCCTACTTGTCCCCTGAAACATATCTAAGTCCCTGTTTCTCCTGTACCTTGCCTATGGTCCCGGACCAAGAAGGGTCACATCCGGGAGGGCCCAGTTTTCTATCGTGGGTACAGTGTAGTCAGTGTCAAGCGGTCAAGTCCCACGGACAATGCATTAGGTACCGAAGTGAAAAGACGTGGGTCTGTCCCAACTGCAGAACGGACCAAGTCCCTACCGAGAAACGGTATCTGGACGCACGGACAACCGACGAATTCGCGCCAAGTGCCCGCCAGGCAGAAGTCTGGACGGACCTTCTGTTGCTACGGAGGCTGTCAGGCGACTCGCTGTCAGAACTTAACAAAGCCGAGCGGCGGAGAGTCACGGAGCGGGCGCAGGACTATCGCTGGCAGGGACCGACGTTACAAAAACGAAAAGTCAATGATGGCGGAGGGTATAGCTGGTTGACGGTTCCGCATCCTTTCGCTAGGTTCGATTGGACACGAGCCGCTCATGAAGAGGATGCGGTCCATTTCGCGGTCAAGTACACGGAAAAAACCATCGAAAAGAATCGATGGTACTGGTCGGGAATTCGGGAAGATGTGAAATACATCGTCCAGAATTGCCCGGCCTGCGCGGCGGACAAGGCACCGGTACAGATGCCTCGGACGATGGTGCCTACTCATGTAGAGCGCCCCTTTCAGAGGGTTAGCATCGACACGACGGATATCAACGTTCCGAGAGGTCCCGTCGATCAGGGAGAACTCAATGTTCTTCTAGTGGCCGTCGATCATTTTTCAAAATGGATTGAGGCGTACCCTATGACCAGCCGGAATTCGCAGGAGGTAGCCTGGTACGTAAACCGATTTTTGTGCATGCACCTAGACGTAGAAGAGGTACACATGGACAATGGGTCAGAATTTCAAGGCGAAGTAGAACGTTACCTAGTCAGGGCGGACGTTAAAATTACCTACTCACCGGGGCATTGGCCTCAAGCCAACGGCCTGGTAGAGAACGCCAACCGACTGATTAAGACCGCCCTTAGACGGAATATCACTGCGGGAGACACCCGACCCTGGCCTGTCATTGTCGACCACATCTTGGCCGTTTATTGGGCTACCCCACACGGTAGTACTGGGGTGTCCCCCTTTCAACTGAGAACCAATAGTGTCCCTCGGGTGCAGTTGTCCCCCTTGGTAGGTACGAAAGTTAGAGCAAAACGGGCCCAGCATAGAGATAAGGCCCGCCACTACATGGACTTAATGGCTAGGGCCTATCCCCCGTTAGCCCGCCGTCGACAGCGGGCCGTAGATCGAACGCATCAACGGCAGATCCGTGACTACGAGAATCGGCACGCGACGGCGGGACCACTGCCCCGCTATAAAGTTGGAGACTTGGTGCAGGTACGGAAATCTGCGCACTCCTCCAAGATCCACCCGCGCTACACAGGCATTTACGAGGTAACGGAAGTTGGCGCACAGGGACAGCACTCCGTGAAGCTGATTCCCCGTCACAACTCCCAAGCCCGACCGCTGACACGGCACGCTGCCGCGCTTCGGCCCTTCCAGCCATCACTAGGTCCTATACGGACCCCCGCTCCTGCGAGATCATCCTCTCCTTCTTTGTCTTCCTCCTCTTCCCGATCTGCCTCGTCCATTGGTGTAGAGAGTTTTAGGGAGCAGGATGAACCATCGCCAGCCGGAGCATGAGCCCCTCGAGCATTTCCAGACGCCGCTTGCAGATCGCTTGTTGCGGCATCAGTTCAATGAGGAGAGGCAGTTGCGATATGACATTCAGCAGGTGAACGTGCCAGCGCCCGGGGTTGCTGATCTGGCAACGTACTCGTTGCTTTGTGATCGACTGACGTACGCAGGGGTGTACGTGGACGTAACGCAGTTGCCGGGGCGGGAGACGACCCGAGTGTTCATCGAGTTTCGGGCGCTCCAGGTGGCACCCAACTTCGTGCATAGCGTTGACACCTTCATCGGAGACTTGACGACCTTGGCGCCGCCGAGTCGGGAGCTGGCGCGGAGTTTTGTGCACGACTAGGCGCTGCAGGCGGCCAGATCAGTGGCCAAAGTGCAAGGACGGGGGGGACACCGATTCACAGCCCACGAGGTGCTGCTGAGCAAGGCAGAGGACGGACCAATCGCGCTGGTGCCACAGCTCCCCGCGCTTCTTCCTCCCGCTGCCCCTCTCAACATCCAAGCTATTCCCCCTGCCCCGTACTAAATGCCTCCGTTCTTCTCTTACACCACTCTCCCCTATCAGCTCACGGAGGGCCCCTATCCTATGCGCGAGTTCTCGGAGTATTTGGTGGAGCTAACTGACGTGGAGCCGCTGCCCTTCGCAGACGAAGACGTGTGGGAGTTGCACCGTGCGCTTTGCAAGTCGGTGGCGTTGGGGATGTTCCGGTTCTTCGTGGATCCCGAAGACCACTGCATCGAAGAGCACGTCGTCGTCTACTACGTCATCACGTGGCCCAAGCGAGCGCAGAAGGAGGGGATGGTGGCGCTGTACCCATTCGCCCAGCTCCAGACGATCGATCCGGGACTGTTGGAGCTCATCCATCTTGAGCTCCTCTCCATTGCGCAGGTGATCGCGAGCGAGGAAGAGGAGATCCAGCCCCGATTGCGGACGCCGACGGCCCCGCGGAGAACGTACAACGTGGTCGTCATCCCGGATTACATTGCGCAGCGCGCGGAGAGGTTGGAGGACTTCCCGGAGGAAAATCCGTTGCGGACTCCCTCGTCGTATCCCAGACCGGCGCCACCAAAGGCCCCCAAGAAGACGCCAAAGAGGAAGAGAAGCCACCCGTCGCCAGGAGCGCAAGGTAGCAGAATCGGTGGCGGCGAGGAGGTGATTCAGCCCGTGCGTACGCGGAATCTTGACCCCGTGCTTGGGAGTGCAGCGACGCTTGTTAAGGAGACTGTCGTGCCATCGCCGCCCTTTCCGCGCGTGCCCGATCTCAATCTTGATGGAGCCGGGCCATCAGCAGCAGCAGGAGCCGGAGGAGGGAGCCGAATGGGATTACCGGATCCCTTATCCAGCCCCCCCGTCCTCGCGGGACGTCTCCACTCCCGCCCGCCACCCCGGGGTGCCCCAATCATTGACATTAGTAGCTCCTCTGAGCCGGACGGTCCATCCGACAGAGGTGGATTTCATGGTGGAGCCCACCACCATCCGACTCGAGGCCATCGCGGGGGCGCCGCGCCCTGATCCGGCGTGGGAGCCATATCTGACACCCCCTTTTCAAGGGTGTATTGCTGCGCGACTGGCTGAGACGCTCATCTACGAGACCGGGCAGCGTCCCAATGTGATGTACCACTTCCTTGCCTTCGCGGCGCAGAAGCAAGAACGGCGGCCTTACACCGAGACTCACGTGGTAATGACGGGTCCAGGGCCCCGATCGGTGCGCAAGCGGGTGGTGCGAGCAGTGGCGGATCTGGCGCCACGTGTCCTGTCTCATGTGTCGGGGGCCTTCCTCTATCCCTTGTTCGTCCGACACCACTTCCATGAGGAGGATGCGCCGACGACTCCCGCGGCAATGGCCGCTTTTCTTCCACCTATTCTGCCCCCTCTCAATACCGATATCGATCACTTCCTCTGATCACCCTCGTCTACCTCTCCCCTCTTCTCTCCTTCTCCTTCTCTTCATCATCTTCCTCCCCTATACCCAAAGTTCGCACGTCAAGACCCGCTGTGTAAAAAAAAACAAAAAAAA